TCTACAGCTATAGTACTCTAGTGTGCTCTACAACTATAGTACTCTAGTGTGCTCTACAGCTATAGTACTCTAGTGTGCTCTACAACTATAGTACTCTAGTGTGCTCTACAACTATAGTACTCTAGTGTGCTCTACTGCTGTAGAACTCTAGTGTGCTCTACACCTATAGAATTCTAGTGTACTCTACAGCTATAGTACTCTAGTGTGCTCTACAGCTATAGTACTCTAGTGTGCTCTACAACTATAGTACTCTAGTGTGCTCTACAACTATAGTACTCTAGTGTGCTCTACAACTATTGTACTCTAGTGTGCTCTACAACTATAGTACTCTAGTGTGCTCTACAACTATAGTACTCTAGTGTGCTCTACAACTATAGTACTCTAGTGTGCTCTACAGCTATGGTACTCTAGTGTGCTCTACAGCTATGGTGCTCTAGTGTGCTCTACAGCTATGGTACTCTAGTGTGCTCTACAGCTATGGTACTCTAGTGTGCTCTAAAGCTACAGTACTCTAGTGTGGTCTACAGCTATGGTACTCTAGTGTGCTCTACAGCTATGGTACTGTAGTGTACTCTACAGCTATGGTACTCTAGTGTACTCTACAGCTACAGTACTCTAGTGTGCTCTACAGCTATGGTACTGTAGTGTGCTCTACAGCAATGGTACTGTAGTGTGCTCTTCAGAAATGGTACTGTAGTGTGCTCTACAGCAATGGTACTGTAGTGTGCTCTACAGCAATGGTACAGTAGTGTGCTCTACAGCTATGGTACTGTAGTGTGCTCTACAGCTATGGTACTCTAGTGTACTCTACAGCTACAGTACTCTAGTGTGCTCTACAGCTATGGTACTGTAGTGTGCTCTACAGCTATGGTACTCTAGTGTACTCTACAGCTACAGTACTCTAGTGTGCTCTACAGCTATGGTACTGTAGTGTGCTCTACAGCAATGGTACTGTAGTGTGCTCTTCAGAAATGGTACTGTAGTGTGCTCTACAGCAATGGTACTGTAGTGTGCTCTACAGCAATGGTACAGTAGTGTGCTCTACAGCTATGGTACTGTAGTGTGCTCTACAGCTATGGTACTCTAGTGTGCTCTACAGCTACAGTACTCTAGTGTGCTCTACAGCTATGGTACTCTAGTGTGCTCTACAGCTACAGTACTCTAGTGTGCTCTACAGCTATGGTACTATAGTGTGCTCTACAGCTATGGTACTCTAGTGTGCTCTACAGCTACAGTACTCTAGTGTGCTCTACAGCTATGGTACTCTAGTGTGCTCTACAGCTACAGTACTCTAGTGTGCTCTACAGCTACAGTACTCTAGTGTGCTCTACAGCTACAGTACTCTAGTGTGCTCTACAGCAATGGTACAGTAGTGTGCTCTACAGCAATGGTACTGTAGTGTGCTCTACAGCAATGGTACTGTAGCGTGCTCTACAGCTATGGTACTGTAGTGTGCTATACAGCTATGGTACTCTAGTGTGCTCTACAGCTACAGTACTCTAGTGTGCTCTACAGCTATGTTACTCTAGTGTGCTCTACAGCTACAGTACTCTAGTGTGCTCTACAGCTAAAGAACTCTAGTGTGCTCTACAGCTATAGTACTCTAGTGTGCTCTACAGCTACAGTACTCTAGTGTGCTCTACAACTATAGTACTCTAGTGTGCTCTACAGCTACAGTACTCTAGTGTGCTCTACTGCTATAGAACTCTAGTGTGCTCTACAGCTACAGTACTCTAGTGTACTCTACAGCTATAGAACTCTAGTGTGCTCTACAGCTACAGTACTCTAGTGTGCTCTACAGCTATAGAACTCTAGTGTGCTCTACAGCTATAGTACTCTAGTGTGCTCTACAGCTATAGAACTCTAGTGTGCTCTACTGCTGTAGAACTCTAGTGTGTTCTACAGCTATAGAACTCTAGTGTACTCTACAGCTATAGAACTCTAGTGTGCTCTACAGCTACAGTACTCTAGTGTGCTCTACAGCTACAGTACTCTAGTGTGCTCTACAGCTACAGAACTCTAGTGTGCTCTACAGCTATAGTACTCTAGTGTGCTCTACAGCTATAGAACTCTAGTGTGCTCTACTGCTGTAGAACTCTAGTGTACTCTACAACTATAGTACTCTAGTGTGCTCTACTGCTGTAGAACTCTAGTGTGCTCTACAACTATAGTACTCTAGTGTGCTCTACAACTATAGTACTCTAGTGTGCTCTGCAACTATAGTACTCTAGTGTGCTCTACAGCTATAGTACTCTAGTGTGCTCTACAGCTATGGTACTCTAGTGTGCTCTACAACTATAGTACTCTAGTGTGCTCTACAACTATAGTACTCTAGTGTGCTCTACAACTATAGTACTCTAGTGTGCTCTACAACTATAGTACTCTAGTGTGCTCTACAGCTATAGTACTCTAGTGTGCTCTACAACTATAGTACTCTAGTGTGCTCTACGACTATAGTACTCTAGTGTGCTCTACAGCTATGGTACTCTAGTGTGCTCTACAACTATAGTACTCTAGTGTGCTCTACAGCTATAGTACTCTAGTGTGCTCTACAACTATAGTACTCTAGTGTGCTCTACAGCTATAGTACTCTAGTGTGCTCTACAACTATAGTACTCTAGTGTGCTCTACAACTATAGTACTCTAGTGTGCTCTACAACTATAGTACTCTAGTGTGCTCTACAGCTATAGTACTCTAGTGTGCTCTACAGCTATGGTACTCTAGTGTGCTCTACAACTATAGTACTCTAGTGTGCTCTACAACTATGGTGCTCTAGTGTGCTCTACAACTATAGTACTCTAGTGTGCTCTACAACTATAGTACTCTAGTGTGCTCTACAACTATAGTACTCTAGTGTGCTCTACAACTATAGTACTCTAGTGTGCTCTACAGCTATAGTACTCTAGTGTGCTCTACAACTATAGTACTCTAGTGTGCTCTACGACTATAGTACTCTAGTGTGTTCTACTGCCTTAGAACTCTAGTGTGTTCTACTGCCTTAGAACTCTAGTGTGCTCTACAGCTATAGACTCTAGTGTGTTCTACTGCCTTAGAACTCTAGTGTGCTCTACAGCTATAGAACTCTAGTGTGCTCTACAGCTGTAAGACTCTAGTGTGTTCTACTGCCTTAGAACTCTAGTGTGCTCTACAACTATAGTACTCTAGTGTGCTCTACAACTATAGTACTCTAGTGTGCTCTACAGCTATAGTACTCTAGTGTGCTCTACAACTATAGTACTCTAGTGTGCTCTACAACTATAGTACTCTAGTGTGTTCTACTGCCTTAGAACTCTAGTGTGTTCTACTGCCTTAGAACTCTAGTGTGCTCTACAGCTATAGACTCTAGTGTGTTCTACTGCCTTAGAACTCTAGTGTGCTCTACAGCTATAGAACTCTAGTGTGCTCTACAGCTGTAAGACTCTAGTGTGTTCTACTGCCTTAGAACTCTAGTGTGCTCTACAACTATAGTACTCTAGTGTGCTCTACTGCTGTAGAACTCTAGTGTGCTCTACAGCTGTAAGACTCTAGTGTGCTCTACTGCTGTAGAACTCTAGTGTGCTTACAGCTGTAAGACTCTAGTGTGTTCTACTGCCTTAGAACTCTAGTGTGTTCTACTGCCTTAGAACTCTAGTGTGCTCTACAGCTATAGACTCTAGTGTAATGCTAGCCTGACTTGAGACGTTGCCCAAACGGCTTCAACAGAACGTTTGGTTATCACACAAGAAACAAATATTTATGCATTTATTTATTTATATAGAAGAAGACACAATGGGTGGGTGAGGAGCACAGCCTAGTAAAGCCACTAGCGCGCTTTACGTTTCGGACACGGGCTTAAGCTAAGATTTAAGCCTAAAATTTAAAAAAAATTTAAATTTTGCCCCGAGGGGCGAGTTTATTGGGCAGCGTCACTCATCTTGTGAGTGGACACACCGCCATAGTGACAGCATTGGGCAGCGTCACTCATCCTGTGAGTGGACACACCGCCATAGTGACAGTATTGGGCAGCGTCACTCATCCTGTGAGTGGACACACCGCCATAGTGACAGTATTGGGCAGCGTCACTCATCCTGTGAGTGGACACACCGCCATAGTGACAGTATTGGGCAGCGTCACTCATCTTGTGAGTGGACACACCGCCATAGTGACAGTATTGGGCAGCGTCACTCATCCTGTGAGTGGACACACCGCCATAGTGACAGTATTGGGCAGCGTCACTCATCTTGTGAGTGGACACACCGCCATAGTGACAGTATTGGGCAGCGCCACTCATCCTGTGAGTGGACACACCGCCATAGTGACAGTATTGGGCAGCGTCACTCATCCTGTGAGTGGACACACCGCCATAGCAGCATGTACAACACTCCCCAATAGGAAGAAAACCCGAAGCCTACTGACGGGTACATTGTAATAGAGTTGCCCAGACCACACACTAGAAGGTGAAGGGACGACGACGTTTCGGTCCGTCCTGGACTATTCCCATGTCGATTGTGACAATCGACTTGAGAATGGTCCAGGACGGACCGAAACGTCGTCGTCGTCCCTTCACCTTCTAGTGTGTGGTCTGGTCAACATTCTTTAGCCACGTTATTGTGACTCATCGCCTGCACATTGTAACGGAATTTGAATTCAAATGATAACGAACATCATTATAAAGAGATCAAATACAATTATAGGGATCAAGTTGGATTTCCATATTGTAATATACTGGGTGAGAGGTTAGCACCAGGTGGGTGCTAAAAAAAAAAAAAAAAAAAATCACCCACTACGGGCTCACCATAGCCCGTGCTACTTGGAACTTTTTGTTCCAGGTAGCGAATAAGGTACTTTTATTTACGTGGCGTGTTTAAATAAATGTAATTTAGTCTGACTCGAAGAATATCGGAGAGATTTTTATTTCTGGAATGAAGTTCATGGGTTCTATTACATCTATCAAGAAAGTGTTTTAAAACAAGATTACAATTAGAGAATAGGGTTTTGTAAGTGTAAGTAGCACAGGAGAATGAGTGCAGTGAGAGTATGCTTAGCATACTTAGGGATTTAAACAGAGGGGCTGTGTGTTGAGGGAGTCGAGTCAGACCAGACCAGCGAGAGCGGGTCAGACTAGGACAGACTTATGCAAATTTTATTCAAGGGGCATATGCAGACATAGATATGCTGGTACTAAGAAAGGATTAGAATGCAGTTACCAACATCCCAATTCTTTTTTTAATATGCTTAGGAAAGGTCAGTGTCGATTTGGATCAATATGTAGGTTTTTCCATCCTGACATGTGCCAAACCTCACTGGAGGACAGAAAATGCTATAATCTCAGCTGCCCATACTTTCACGTGAAAGGCACGGAACGCTACATAAAGAGTGGCAAGCAGGATAATGAATTTGGAGAAAACTCGATAAATATTTTATACCAAACCGAAAGATATTTCAAAAGGAGGAGCATAGAGAATGTATAGAACTGGATGCCAGATCCACTTGCATACCAGAATTACAGATACAATTACACACCAAAAAGGAACTAGAACTACGACAGACAACTGCCCTACAACAATCAGCACTGGTCAGAACAAACTCAATATGTCTCCCAGTCCAACCATGCCTAATAGAGTATCCTCCTTAATCTTTGTCAACATACAAGGACTAAAAACAAGAACAAACAACAAAGTACAGTTCATAAATGGCCTCCTCAAGGAGTCAAATGCAGTATTTGGAGCTTTCACAGAAACCCATGCAGGGGAATTCTTGGACAGTGAGATCTGGATTCCAGGATATAACCTATACAGGTGTGATAGGAAAATTAGGTCACATGGAAGAGTGGGTCTGTATATTAGGGAAGATCTTGTATGCTTGGAGCTCCTTAACGTTATAAATGAGGTGGTAGAGGTACTGGGATTAAAAATAGAGAAAATAAACTTAGTGATTATTCTAATATACAAACCGACAGATGCAACGGCCGAGGAATTCACAGAACAGATAAACAAAATAGAGAATAGCCTTGATAATTTGAAGAACCCGATACCTGATAATATCTTCCTAAGTGACTTCCACTTGCCTAGTCTCAGGTGGAGAATAGCAAACAATAATATTATACCAGGAAATCTAACGGGACCGAACCAATCACAGATTAGAGAACTACTGAAATTCTGTGACAAATTTTCTCTCAACCAGCAGACATCAGAGCCAACGAGAAATGAAAATATTCTAGATCTGGTCTTTACGAACAATGAAGACATAATCAGGGACATTACGATATCAAATACCACATACTCAGATCACAAGCTCATTGAAGTGCAAACGACCATCAATACTCAGAATAGACCTAAAACGTTGATCAAGCGAGAGGGGCTATTCAGTAAATTCAATTTTAATAACAAAAGGATAGACTGAGAGAAAATAAACAGGGAACTTACAAACATTCCATGGGAAACTGTTCTAAGTAATACAAGTCCTACAGAAGGAATAGAAAAACTGATTTCGGAAGCGTATCAAGTCTGAAACATGTTCCTTTGAGGAAAGCCAGAAAAAGGTCCAAAGTAGAAAGAGAACGCAGACGACACTATAAAAGAAAGAAAAAAATAGCGGAAATGCTTAACCAGACACGACTTTCCCTACAAAGAAGGAATAATTTAAATAGTTTAATTTAAATTTATTGAACAAATCGAGCGGAGATTGAAACACTCATATCAGACTTGTTCTGTTAGAACTAAAAGCAATTCAGGAAATAAAGAAAAATCCAAAATATTCCTTCACATATGAGAAATCAAAAGCAAAAACCACTGTCAGTATTGGACCTATTCGTACAAGTGAAGGTTCATACACGGAGGATGACAAAGAAATTAGTGAAATCGTAAAAAAGCAGTATGAGGACATGTTTAGCACTCCGATAAACAACATGAAAGTGGAAGACACAGACAATTTCTTTATGCGTGATATCCAAACACTTGTAAATATAACTGATATCAACACGAGCGTACTAGATTTTGAAAGAAATTGAAAACATGCCCATGCACTCAGCTCCGGGTCCAGATTCATGGAATTCAATATTTATAAAGAAATGCAAAGTGCCAGTGGCACATGCACTCAGTATAGTGTGGAGGAAGAGCTTGGACACGGGGGTGATACCAGATGCACTTAAAGTAGCAGACATAGCCCCTCTACACAAGGGAGGGAGCAAAGCATTGGCAAAGAATTATAGACCAGTTGCACTAACGTCCCACATAATAAAAGTATTTGAGAGAGTGATTAGGAGTCAGGTCACCAATTTCATGGAGACAAATGACCTTCACAACCCAGGCCAACATGGATTTCGAGCGGGGAGATCATGCTTCTCACAGCTACTTGATCACTAAGACAAAATCACTGAGGCATTAGAAGAAAAACAAAATGCTGATGTGATATACACGGACTTCGCAAAGGCTTTCGATAAATATGACCATGGAGTGATAGCACACAAAATGAGGTCAATGGGAATAACCGGTAAAGTAGGACGCTGGATACTCAGTTTTCTGTCAAACAGGACTCAACGAGTAACAGGGAGGGAATTATCCGAGTAAAGCGCCTAGCCATTACGACTATATAGCACTGGGAAGGGATCAGGATAAGGACCTGGGATGGGACGGGGGTGAAGGAATGGTGCCCAACCACTTGGGCGATCGGGGACTCAACGCCGACCTGCATGAAACGAGACTGTCGCTCTACCGTCCAAGAGACTTGTTGGAGGACAGTCAACCATATAAAATCTAGTCCAAGCGCAGTTAAAAGCTCTGTACCTCAGGGTACAGTCCTTGCACCGCTGCTTTTCCTAATTCTTACATCAGATATAGACAAAAATACAAGTCACAGCTTCGTATCATCCTCTGCAGACGACACAAAAATCAGCCTGATAATTACTTCGGCTGAAGACATTGAAAAACTTCAAGCAGATATTAATAAAGTTTTCGACTGGGCAACAGAAAGTAACATGATGTTTAACAATGATAAATTCCAAATACTCAGGTACGGTAAAAATGAGGACCTTAAACATAATACAGGGTACAAAACACAATCAAATGTGCCCATAGTAAGAAAGAAGCATGTAAAGGATTTGGGAATAATGATGTCAGACGACTTAACGTTTAAGGAGCATAACCAAGCAAATATCGCGTCAGCCAGAAAAATGATCGGATGGATGACGAGAACTTTCAAATCCAGGGATCCCATCACAATGGTTGTATTCTTCAAGTCACTTGTGTTGTCCCGTCTTGAGTACTGCTCAGTACTCACTTCCCCCTTCAGAGCAGGAGAGATTGCTGAAATAGAGGGAATACAGAGAACATATACGGTATACGGTATACATAGACGCAATAAAGCACCTAAATTATTGGGATCGTCTCAAAGCTCTCCAAATGCACTCACTAGAAAGACGACGAGAAAGATATCAAATAATATACACATGGAAATTACTGGAGGGACAGGTCCCAAATCTACACAGTAAAATAACAACGTACTGGAGTGAACGATATGGAAGAAAATGTAGAATAGAACCAGTGAAGAGCAGAGGTGCCATAGGCACAATCAGAGAACACTGTATAAATATCAGAGGTCCGCGATTGTTCAACACCCTCCCAGCGAGCATAAGAAATATTGCAGGAACAACCGTGGACATCTTCAAGAGGAAACTAGATTGTTTCCTTCAAGGAGTACCGGACCAACCGGGTTATGGTGGGTATGTGGGCCTGCGGGCCGCTCCAAGCAACAGCCTAGTGGACCAAACTCTCACAATTCAAGCCTGGCCTCGGGCTGGGCTTGGGGAGTAGAAAACCTCCCAGAACCCCATTAACCAGGTTGCAGGAAGACTGAATTTGTAATACTTCCGATTTTTGCTGGGAGGTAATGAACTTGAGGTAGTTTGCATTGGTTGAACCCCTAGCAAAGATACTGTATGTTTGATAGTGATAGATTATCGAGTAGTGTATTGTGAGAAGAGCAGAGTGAGGAACATAACATACATGGATTTTGCTAAGCATACACTCACTCCACAATTAATAACTCACACATACACACTCCACTGTCTACCGGGACAGAGGGTCCCAGTAGTGCAGTGGGGTTCGTTCTCGGCGCACAATCGAGAATTCCGGGTTAGAGTCCCCTGCAGAACAGAAATGGTTGAGCACATTTCCTTTCACCTAATGGGTCTGTTCACCTAGCAGTGAGTAGGTACTCAGGAGTTAGTCTGCGTGTTGTGAGGTTGCCTCCTGGGTGGGGTCAGTAATTCGTTCTGGGGGGGGGGGGGGAGGGAGGACCTCGATAAAAGCCAAAATGTGTATGAATATACTCTGGCTTCCTGTCCCTCGACGGAGTGAATAATTATTATCATATTATAGTCTTGTGCTACTTGATCAACCAGACTGTGAACCTGATCAACCAAGCCGTGACTCATACGTCAGGCTGCGAGCAGCTGCCTCCAACAACCTGGTTGACCAGTCCAGCAACGAGGAGCGACTGGGCCGCGGGGATGCTAAGCCCCGAAACCATCTCAAGGTAACCTCAAGGTAAGGTACTTACACCCGGCCGATCAGGTTGACACCACACAAACTTGCCCACACACCACAGCAGTAAATAGGTACCTGGGAGTTAGTCAGCTGTCACGGGCTGCTTCCTGGGGGTGGAGGCCCTGGTCGAGGACCGCGCCGCGGGGACACTAAAAAGCCCCGAAATCATCTCAAGATAACACTGTTGGAAACGTTCGCCAGCTACCCAGACAAAGGCCTTCCGGAGGATGTAGTATACAGGGACTTTCCTAAAGCCTTTTGATAAGGTGCCCCAGGAAAAACCAAGAAAATCTTGGCCGGTGGATGGAAGGAAGTAATTATCAGGGAAAGCACCAAGCCATTACGACCATATAGCACTGGGAAGGGGTCAGGATAAGGATTTGGGATGGGACGGGGGAAGGAATGGTGCCCAACCACTTGGACGGTCGGATAAATGGTAAAGTACTAGAATGGATAAAACAATGGTTGAAACAAGGAAAGTAAAGTGTTGTGCTAAATGGGAACGAATCTGAATAGAGAAATGTGGTAGATGGGGTGCCACCCGAGCTGCCAGTGGTAGGTGAGGTGCCACCACAGCTGCCAGTGGTAGGTGAGGTGCCACCAGAGCTGCCAGTGGTAGGTGAGGTGCCACCAGAGCTGCCAGTGGTAGGTGGGGTGCCACCACAGCTGCCAGTGGTAGGTGAGGTGCCACCACAGCTACCAGTGGTAGGTGGGGTGCCACCACAGCTGCCAGTGGTAGGTGGGGTGCCACCAGAGCTGCCAGTGGTAGGTGAGGTGCCACCAGAGCTGCCAGTGGTAGGTGAGGTGCCACCAGAGCTGCCAGTGGTAGATGAGGTGCCACCAGAGCTGCCAGTGGTAGGTGAGGTGCCACCAGAGCTGCCAGTGGTAGGTGGGGTGCCACCAGTGGTAGGTGGGGTGCCACCACAGCTACCAGTGGTAGGTGGGGTGCCACCACAGCTGCCAGTGGTAGGTGGGGTGCCACCAGAGCTGCCAGTGGTAGGTGGGGTGCCACCAGAGCTACCAGTGGTAGGTGGGGTGCCACCAGTGGTAGGTGGGGTGCCACCACAGCTACCAGTGGTAGGTGGGGTGCCACCACAGCTGCCAGTGGTAGGTGGGGTGCCACCAGTGGTAGGTGGGGTGCCACCACAGCTACCAGTGGTAGGTGGGGTGCCACCAGTGGTAGGTGGGGTGCCACCACAGCTGCCAGTGGTAGGTGGGGTGCCACCAGAGCTGCCAGTGGTAGATGAGGTGTCACCCGAGCTGCCAGTGGTAGGTGGGGTGCCACCAGAGCTACCAGTGGTAGGTGGGGTGCCACCAGAGCTGCCAGTGGTAGGTGAGGTGCCACCAGAGCTGCCAGTGGTAGGTGAGGTGCCACCAGAGCTACCAGTGGTAGGTGGGGTGCCACCAGAGCTGCCAGTGGTAGGTGAGGTGCCACCAGAGCTGCCAGTGGTAGGTGAGGTGCCACCAGTGGTAGGTGGGGTGCCACCACAGCTACCAGTGGTAGGTGGGGTGCCACCAGAGCTGCCAGTGGTAGGTGAGGTGCCACCAGAACTACCAGTGGTAGATGAGGTGCCACCAGAGCTACCAGTGGTAAATGAGGTGCCACCAGAACTACCAGTGGTAGATGAGGTGCCACCAGAACTACCAGTGGTAGATGAGGTGCCACCAGAACTACCAGTGGTAGATGAGGTGCCACCAGAACTACCAGTGGTAGATGAGGTGCCACCAGAACTACCAGTGGTAGATGAGGTGCCACCAGAACTACCAGTGGTAGATGAGGTGCCACCAGAACTACCAGTGGTAGATGAGGTGCCACCAGAACTACCAGTGGTAGATGAGGTGCCACCAGAACTACCAGTGGTAGATGAGGTGCCACCAGAACTACCAGTGGTAGATGGAACAGGGGAATGAGAGAGAGGATGAGGGGGAAGGGGGATGATGGAGATGATTTCGGGGCTTAGCGTCCTGGCGGGTGGTGGCTGGTGGTCCTTGGTGGTGGCTGGTGGTCCCTGGTGGTGGCTGGTGGTCCCTGGTGGTGGCTGGTGGTCCCTGGTGGTGGCTGGTGGTCCCTGGTGGTGGCTGGTGGTCCCTGGTGGTGGCTGGTGGTCCCTGGTGGTGGCTGGTGGTCCCTGGTGGTGGCTGGTGATCCCTGGTGGTGGCTGGTGGTCCTGGTGGTGGCTGGTGGTCCCTGGTGGTGGCTGGTGGTCCCTGGTGGTGGCTGGTGGTCCCTGGTGGTGGCTGGTGGTCCCTGGTGGTGGCTGGTGGTCCCTGGTGGTGGCTGGTGGTCCTTGGTGGTGGCTGGTGGTCCCTGGTGGTGGCTGGTGGTCCTTGGTGGTGGCTGGTGGTCCCTGGTGGTGGCTGGTGGTCCCTGGTGGTGGCTGGTGGTCCCTGGTGGTGGCTGGTGGTGGCTGGTGGTGTCCCTGGTGGCTGGTGGTCCCTGGTGGTGGCTGGTGGTCCCTGGTGGTGGCTGGTGGTCCCTGGTGGTGGCTGGTGGTCCCTGGTGGTGGCTGGTGGTCCCTGGTGGTGGCTGGTGGTCCCTGGTGGTGGCTGGTGGTCCATGGTGGTGGCTGGTGGTCCCTGGTGGTGGCTGGTGGTCCCTGGTGGTGGCTGGTGGTCCCTGATGGTGGCTGGTGGTCCCTGGTGGTGGCTTGTGGTGGCTGGTGGTCCCTGGTGGTGGCTGGTGGTCCCTGGTGGTGGTGGTCTGGTGGTCCCTGGTGGTGGCTGGTGGTCCCTGGTGGTGGTGGTGGTGGCTGGTGGTCCCTGGTGGTGGCTGGTGGTCCCTGGTGGTGGCTGGTGGTCCCTGGTGGTGGCTGGTGGTCCCTGGTGGTGGCTGGTGGTCCCTGGTGGTGGCTGGTGGTCCCTGGTGGTGGCTGGTGGTCCCTGGTGGTGGCTGGTGGTCCCTGGTGGTGGCTGGTGGTCCCTGGTGGTGGCTGGTGGTCCCTGGTGGTGGCTGGTGGTCCCTGGTGGTGGCTGGTGGTCCCTGGTGGTGGCTGGTGGTCCCTGGTGGTGGCTGGTGGTCCCTGGTGGTGGCTGGTGGTCCCTGGTGGTCCCTGGTGGTGGCTGGTGGTCCCTGGTGGTCCTGGTGGTGGCTGGGTGGTGGTGGCTGGTGGTCCCTGGTGGTGGCTGGTGGTCCCTGGTGGTGGCTGGTGGTCCCTGGTGGTGGCTGGTGGTCCCTGGTGGTGGCTGGTGGTGGTCCCTGGTGGTGGCTGGTGGTCCCTGGTGGTGGCTGGTGGTCCCTGGTGGTGGCTGGTGGTCCCTGGTGGTGGCTGGTGGTCCCTGGTGGTGGCTGGTGGTCCCTGGTGGTGGCTGGTGGTCCCTGATGGTGGCTGGTGGTCCCTGGTGGTCCCTGGTGGTGGCTGGTGGTCCGTGGTGGTGGCTGGTGGTCCTTGATGGTGGCTGGTGGTCCCTGGTGGTGGCTGGTGGTCCCTGGTGGTGGCTGGTGGTCCCTGGTGGTGGCTGGTGGTCCCTGGTGGTGGCTGGTGGTCCCTGGTGGTGGCTGGTGGTCCCTGGTGGTGGCTGGTGGTCCCTGGTGGTGGCTGGTGGTCCCTGGTGGTGGCTGGTGGTCCCTGGTGGTGGCTGGTGGTCCCTGGTGGTGGCTGGTGGTCCCTGGTGGTGGCTGGTGGTCCCTGGTGGTGGCTGGTGGTCCCTGGTGGTGGCTGGTGGTCCCTGGTGGTGGCTGGTGGTCCCTGGTGGTGGCTGGTGGTCCCTGGTGGTGGCTGGAGGTCCCTGGGTCCCTGGTGGTGGCTGGTGGTCCCTGGTGGTGGCTGGTGGTCCCTGGTGGTGGCTGGTGGTCCCTGGTGGTGGCTGGTGGTCCCTGGTGGTGGCTGGTGGTCCCTGGTGGTGGCTGGTGGTCCCTGGTGGTGGCTGGTGGTCCCTGGTGGTGGCTGGTGGTCCCTGGTGGTGGCTGGTGGTCCCTGGTGGTGGCTGGTGGTCCCTGGTGGTGGCTGGTGGTCCCTGGTGGTGGCTGGTGGTCCCTGGTGGTGGCTGGTGGTGGCTCCCTGGTGGTGGTGGCTGGTGGTCCCTGGTGGTGGCTGGTGGTCCCTGGTGGTGGCTGGTGGTCCCTGGTGGTGGCTGGTGGTCCCTGGTGGTGGCTGGTGGTGGTGGCTGGTGGTGGCTGGTGGTCCCTGGTGGTGGCTGGTGGGTCCCTGGTGGTGGCTGGTGGTCCCTGGTGGTGGCTGGTGGTCCCTGGTGGTGGCTGGTGGTCCCTGGGTGGTGGTCCCTGGTGGTGGCTGGTGGTCCTGGTGGTGGCTGGTGGTCCCTGGTGGTGGCTGGTGGTCCCTGGTGGTGGCTGGTGGTCCCTGGTGGTGGCTGGTGGTCCCTGGTGGTGGCTGGTGGTCCCTGGTGGTGGCTGGTGGTCCCTGGTGGTGGCTGGTGGTCCCTGGTGGTGGCTAGTGGTCCCTGGTGGTGGCTGGTGGTCCGTTGTGGTGGTTGGTGGTCCCTGGTGGTGGCTGGTGGTCCCTGGTGGTGGCTGGTGGTCCCTGGTGGTGGCTGGTGGTCCCTGGTGGTGGCTGGTGGTCCCTGGGTGTGGCTGGTGGTCCCTGGTGGTGGCTGGTGGTCCCTGGTGGTGGCTGGTGGTCCCTGGTGGTGGCTGTTGGTCCCTGGTGGTGGCTGGTGGTCCCTGGTGGTGGCTGGTAGTCCGTTTAAGAAGAATAATGTACAGGAGACAATACTGATAGTAATAACAGTGAAAGTGACCAAAGTTGTTTTGACTGCTTCTAGTTAAATTTTTAAACTGGATCCATGTGCAATGAAAAAGAAAATTTGCCAACGTATCAAGCAGATAAATGGCAAAATTTATGTTCTCGTTGATGGATCAAATAGCCTGATCCATCACAACCTACATAGTTTACTTGAAATGTGAAAGTGATAAGGAAGGTAATCCCTATTGAATGTTCTTAAATCAAATTGAACTACCTGATCAGAAAGCTGCAACTACTGATAGGCATCTATTGAGCTGTCTCAATTATCATGGGTTTGATGACTTATATTTGAAACAGAACCTTGAAGCATTCGCTAGTGATGGTTATCTTGAGGTTATCTTGAGATGATTTCGGGGCTTTTTAGTGTCCCCGCGGCCCGGTCCTCGACCAGGCCTCCACCCCCAGGACGCAGCCCGTGACAGCTGACTAACACCCAGGTACCTATTTTACTGCTAGGTAACAGGGGCATAGGGTGAAAGAAACTCTGCCCATTGTTTCTCGCCGGCGCCTGGGATCGAACCCAGGACCACAGGATCACAAGTCCAGCGTGCTGTCCGCTCGGCCGACCGGCTCCTTCGGACCGGCTCCGTGATGGGGCAAGTGTCATGCTTAGTGTCAAATCTGGCGGTGCAACAATTCTCAAGGAACATTACCCTGATATAATAATCTGGGACTGGAACATGGAACACTATTTCCTAAATATTGTAATCAAAAACTGTTTTAAATAAAAAATCAATACTCCTATCCAATGATGATGGTTTGCTTTCAGCCTCTGATACTGCTATTGAATTCAATAGGTTCTTCTCATCCATTGGGTCATCACTTGGTAATGATATTCCATCCTCCCGTACTAATGTCAAGGACTACCTTACAGGTAACTCTCCACAGTCTCTGTACCTAACGCCTGCTAACTCTACTGATGTTAATGAGATAATCCTTTCCCTTAAAACAAAGTCTAGTGCCCTTGAGGAGATACCAACTCTAATTTACAAAAAAGCCTCCACATTTTTAGCTCCTGTCATTGCATTGCTCTACAACAAGTCACTTGAACTCCAAACCTTTCCAGATATACTAAAAAAAAGCGAGAGTAACCCCAGGCCATAAATGTGGTGATCTCACTGATGTCAACAACTTCAGACCTATATCAATTCTGCCAAACTTGTAAAAAAAAATTGAAAACTTTACTCTTATCTACCTAAACACAATATACTCATTCTTGCCAACATGGCTTCAGACCCACAAAAAAGCACTAACGATGCACTTATTAGTATGATTAACTTGATACATACAGCTCTTGATAAAAATGAGTTCCCTGTTGGGTTATTTATGGACCTGCGTAAAGCTTATGACACTGTCAACCACCAAAACCTTCTTAAATTACATCATTATGGAGTCAGAGGTCACTTCCTCCAATACCTTCAGTCTTACCTTACTGACAGGCTCCATTATGTTTCTATGAATAATTCAATTTCTCCCACCCTAACCATCAACAATGGTGTTCCACAGGGCAGCATACTTGGACCTCTCCTCTTTCTCATCTACATTAATGACCTTCCTCATGCCTCTCAACACCTCAAACCAATTCTATTTGCTGATGACACAACCTTCCTTTTCTCCAGTCCTGACCCTCTTGCTCTAAATGTCACTGTGAATACTGAATTAAATAAAGTCCATCTTTGGTTAACTGCCAACAAACTCACGCTTAACATTGACAAAACTTTCTATATTTTGCTTGGTAATAAATCTTCAAATCGAATTAATTTAAGAATAAACAATATCCAAATTAGTAATAAAGTTGATGGTAAATTCCTTGGTGTCCTCATCGATAACAAGCTGAATTTCCAGGGACACATTCTAAATATATCAAAAAAAGGTTTCTAAAACTGTTGGCATTCTTTCTAAGATCAGATATTTTGTACCTCGCCCTGCCCTGGTGACGCTCTATTACTCTCTTATCTATCCTTATCTCAACTATGGTATTTGTGCTTGGGGTTCTACTACCCAAAATCATTTACGTCCTCTAATTACTCAACACAAAGCTGCTATTAGGACAATATCTAACTCTGGCCCCAGACATCACTCGGTACCTTTACTTAAATCTTTGAATATGTTAGATATTAAGTCACTGCACATCCTCTCATGTGTATTCTATATATTCAAAACTCTGAGCTGCAATGTTAATCCTGACCTTAAAAGTTTCCTAGAAGGTTG